TCTTGAAACGTCGAGAAATACAAAAAATTCGGGTTTTCGATATGCTTAGATGTGTGTGGAGACACGATTTTGTTCATCCAATTTAAAGCTTAATAACTCCCATACCTTTCGTCGAAAATTTTTGAAATTTTACAGGGAGTTTTGTGTATTAAAGAAAAATTTTTCTAGCAATTTTCAGGAGAATCGGACTATTGGTTCAGGAGATATAGCTTACATCCTTAATACCTCCCGAATCATTCTGAAGAGTTATAAAAGTACTGGTAACAATTATTAGAAATGAAAACAAATAAAGAATGCAGGGAAAGTCTAGCAACAACGTTGGCAGATTTTTAATTAACAAACTTACACATTTTCTTACAAGATTCTAAAGTGAACGTGATTAACTTTTTCTATCGCGTGATGATTATTCTACATTATTTTTTTCTTTTATTTTAAAATAAAAATTCAAATTAATTATATTTATTGAATTTATACTAAATTAAATGCGGATCTCGGAAATATACCAGTTTATATATTCTAGAAAATTGATATAATAAATTAATAAAACGTTTTTTATAACAAATTTTAATCTGACAATATAACAAATGGAAAACAATTTTCATAAATGTAATTTATTCTTATATTTTATTTTATTTATACTATAATTATGTAATAAAGATTAGATTATTGATCTAAGTTGTGTTGGCCTCGTCTCCTTGGCCGTATTTATTATTGGGGCATGAGGGACGTGGAAGATGATTTTGCCACTGATACTGATAGTTCAAAGTGCCAATCAAGAATTTGCATTTTCACCATTCTTCATGCCCTTTCTTTATTCTTCTGAATTTCTCCTAATTATGAAAAAAATATATTATTGTGTTTTTCTTTTTGTGGTGTCCCTTCAAATCCACAATAGTTTCGCCCTTGTCGGGCCCATCATGGAGTTAATCGAACCCACGACGGGTAAGGGAAAAGGTCTTAGTCCTTTAACATGGAAAAAAGCACGAATTTTTTTTTCATAAATTCTATTAAATTAATTCGAAAATTATTAAGTTTTTATATTAATTTTTATATATAAAATTATTAAAAGTATTTCATTATATTTTCTTTAAAAATAATAATTTGATGTTTAAGACATATATAAACGTTTAAATATAAACATTTCGTCTATAGAATACGTATATTTGTGTAAACATTCATAAATATTTCATATATATCGTTTTCTTGGAAGAAAATGCGATCGTGTTGAAGATAAACAGAACGTAATAAACTTAATATTTAGTAGAAAATAAGTACAATTCGAAGGTCAAAGTTTATATTAAAATGTTATTCACCTGATTCATATCTCGTTTGATACACGAATGTCTCTATTCGTGTTGTTCAAAATACATTTTCTATTTAAAGAGATGCTAAAGCAATTATAGTAAGGTCAATGTTCATTGAACTAAGTCGAAAATAAGAGAGATACAAACATTTTTTAACCTTATTATTCAGTAGATAACTTAAATAGTACGAGAAACAAAATACATTATGGTCAAACTATATTTTTCATATTAAATAACAATTTTATTGATGAGATTTTAGATTTATATTTATTAAATTTATTATACATTTAAAAACTGTATTTTGTAATTTCTTTTACTAATTCTCTTTATCCCCCATTGAAAACTGATAAAATTAGGATTATTAAGATTTATACAATAATTAAAATGATCGCGATGCATAGCAACCGTATTCTCGTATACTTTAAGCTTGATTGACGCACGATAATCTTTTAATCTTTTAACTTTCTTCCATTCACGCCTACGCCATTTTTATTGCAACTAAACGAACTTTTACAGATAAATTTCCTATTGTTTACACAGAAATCGACATTTGTTATCTCCTATAGTTACCGTTATATTTATATGACATGAAAATATCCCAACAAATTTAATTTATTACTCTATTATTAAATAATAAATTCTAAAAATTTATCATTATTAAAACAAAAACATGNAATAAAAATTTGTGTTCTTTGTGCAAATCCCCCGATACATGCAACGATAAAGACGAGTCATAATATATATAAATTATTAACTTATTACCAAATATTTCTCATAGAAGTCTATCATTACACATATAATATTATTTATCATTATTAAAACAAAAACATGATATTAAAATGACTAGAAAACAATTATTTTTAATTATAAACTATTGTAAACGTTTTCTATTATGATTTTACATCTGAAAAGTTCATAGAAATGTATTTTTTGTGTACAATTTTTAAATTAATAATGATAAATTATAAAGAAGTTTTCTGTATCGATTGAACACCTTTATCTCGGAAATAAACTAATATTAATCTAAATTAATTAGCTTCAGACAATTATAAGTCTATTCGAATTTAATGTGTTGTAGATATTGTAATTATGTAATATTGTATTGTTTATCTTTTTCCCCTATTTCAATGGAAAAAATGCGACATCAAGAGAGCAACTCCTTAAAACTTTATTCCATCGATATCATTTTTTTATTTTTTTTTTCCCTAAAGGAAAAACTCTGAAGCAGGAGAAACCGCTTCTATAAGAAAAAATCATGACATCAAGACAATTACTTGACCTTCATTTTACAGTAAAGATTAAGGAATTGCCTCTTGGTGTCATATTTCCCCCCCCATAAAAACAGGAGGAAAGGAATAAACATTGATCTACAACATATTAAATTCAAGATTGCCTCTTGAATTTAATATGTTGTATTATTCTTTGTAGATTAAGTCTATTCAAATTATCATAATCATTCATTTAATTTAGTGAAGCGTACAGTATGTAAACATGTATGAAAATATGCTAATTAAAATAGTCAAAAGAGATTCTTTTTATTCATTTATTTCGAAGAAATATAAACAATTTTAATGAATCAGGTATCAACGTAATAAGATAGTAGAGATATTCATTAAAAGTGAAGTGTTGATGTTTCCTTCTTCAACGAAATATGATTCATCTTTAAAACTTGTTAAAATATTAAATCCGCACACAGTTTCATTACAGAGTGAAATAATAATAATAATAATATAGAATCGATATTAGTGTTATCGTATGTATGAAGTTTATTAATATTATCTCCAGCTGTCATTTTCTTCATACATTCGATGAAAATTTCGAAAAATAAACTGTTTATTTAATCATTTCCCACACAATTATAATGTAGAAGTGAAAAATTATTAAATTTATTTTTCTATTATTCTCCCTCTTGTCAGTATTATTATGGATATTTATTTAATCCCTGTTTCATTCTCTCTCATCAATACGCCCTTAAGGCTATTGTCCGATTCTAAATAGCATCTTGTAAGATAAGTTTTCTCTTATAGAAACTCGTTGACTGAGTCTAGAAGTGAATTAATAATGTTTTTGTCTCCTATCGTTCTATTATGTCTGCGAGTTTCAAATTAATGTCTCTTATTCTTTTAATATCAACACTAAGTTTACGTCTTAATGAAAATGTTTGTTATGTCTACAATTAGATTATATTAATTCGAAAATATAACTAGTAATAACGTGTCAAAATTCTAATAAACTTCTTTAAAATTTGTAATAAAAACATCGTATTTTTCGTGAGTCAAGCGGATATGCGGTTAGTCAAGAGCTTGAGGCCACGTAAAATATTTACTTTCTGTCAAATTTCACTTAATCATGACTTTAAAAATAAACAATTATTAACAAACGGAAGTGAAATTTATACACGAGTTTAAACTTTAACTCATAATTTTATCTAAAATTTTATTGTTTCTTGAATTATGAATAATAACATTTGTGAAATTCCTTTAGCAAATACAAGATTACAGTGTAAATATGAAAAGGGATCTTGAATTGAATTTCGAAATACATATCTTTCCCATAAAGATATAATGGAATTTATAGCTATAACATTTAATGAACGTAATAATATTCATTAGTAGAATGTGTATATTAATTAATATTTTAATTATAATCAATTCGAGTACAGTTAGTTAATTCGATAACATTAAATAAATTTAAGAAACGTGTAAAAGAATAAACTTAGGAAGCCATATTGTTCCACGTTATCATTCTATAGTACAATACTTATTAGTTTTTGCGAAACATGGAAAAAATAATGTCATTTCCTAATGTTTCCTCGACAGATTGATGTTTTCTGCGTTAGTCGAGTTGATTATTTTCTGTAAAAATCGATTCTTTTGAAACTCGAGAAAGGCTTTTAGACTGTATCTGTTAATGGATTTTACCCAATCGTTTTTAGTTTAAGAGCGAGTGGTCCTCTAAAGCTAACTTCTTTTTTTTAAAAAAAAACTACTCTAAACTTATAAAAATTTCCACAAAATGTAATTTAATAACTTTAAAAACATCGTCAAGAACTAATCACATTTAATTAGTATTTAATATTGCTAAGTAATTATATATTAATCGAAGAAGAAGAGTTAATAAATCTGAAGATCTATTTATAATGAAGAAGAGAAAGAGTGAGATATTACAGTTAGGAGATATTCAAGGTGACACTCTTAGCCATCCATTGATCTAATAATAGCGCACACTATCCAGGTGAGAGATAATTTATATGGTTAGTAGTTTCAAGACGTGGTGAAGTAGAATTTTTTTTCTCTCCAGAAAATTGTACTTTATCACGCCAAGTACTTGCTTTTTCTTTAATTTAAAACCCGAATACTCTTGAATAAATAAATAAATTTAAAAAAAAAAACACACACACAATTTTTACCTCATTAAAAACCATCTTTTTATATTTGTTAACTCAAATCGCGGCTTCCTTATTACAATAATTTAATTGGAAATTCAAGGACTCGAATATATTTTATCTAACAAGAAATACGTTGTAATAAGTAAAGGATTAGTTTATTAATTTATAAAAGTAATTTTAATGTTAGTAAAAAAAAAAATATCTTCGAATTTCCCTATTTTGTATATATATATATATTTCTTTTAAGGGAATATTGAGTAATATAGTGGCGCGTTTAGCGCTCCCAACGGAAATTTATTGAACTAATATCACATGACAAGTAAGGACGATAAATGGGAAGAGGTTGTCAAACAAGCTAGAGTTTCCTAGAAGCTAACATGGAGGTTAGGAGAACACCTGTTCTTGTGGTTTTATTGTTAACCGTTAGTTTAAGCGCGGCGCAAAGTAAGTTTTTTTTTATTATATAAAATAAATAAATTATATATATTATTGTAATATAAATATATAATAAATTTAGTTTTGTAAAGCGAATAGCTTTTTATAAATTTCTAATTAATTTATAAAATTAATTAACTCGCGAATTTATCTCTTCATCTGTATGATAATTGTAAGCGGTTGATTATAATAAATATTTAGTATAATTATAATTCAGTTTTATTAATAAAGAAGATTTTTAGACTTTTTAATATGTTTTCTTTATATTATTTTCTAATTTTAAGTTATAATGATTGATTTTTCTTTATAAATTGCTAGATTTTTTTGGGTATATCAAACCGTAAAAAAGCAAAATAAAATGCATATATTGTATTTTGTGTTTTATTTAAATAAAGAAGTTTTAATCATATATTTATTTATTATTTTTTCCCCTTTTTAAAATTCCTTTACAAGCAAATAAATGTTACTTAAAAATTGTTATTTATGGACAATATCCATTTGTTTGAAAGGTTAAAAAATAAAATAACTAATGTAATTTTATACTTTAAAATATGTAAAAATAATGCTTCAGAGTTTGAAAGATTATTATTTTTAAATATTTAATTAAAATAATAAGTTAAATTTACTTATCTCGTTCCTCTTTTAGTCTATTGATTTAATAGTAATTAAATATATGTTTTAAAATAAATTAACATTAAAAAAACGTATATTAATCAATAAATAATAAGGAGGAATCTTTAAGAATTTTTATCTTATATTTCTTTACACGAAAATATTAATTTTTAATATTAAAAGATACATTTTTTTTTAATGGTTACTAAAGATTATTTATATAGAATAATATTTATGCTTGAAAGTTCTAGATATTTATAAGTTAAGAATATTTTAATTATTAAAGGGAGTAGAATGAATTGATTTTAATTAAAGTGCAAGCGTGAACAACATATTTTTGGCTTACTTACAAAGAAAACAAGATGAAAATTAATACTTATTGCTAGGTTACCATTAGATTTTTATTCAAATTATTGTGAAATAAGAAGAGCAATTCTGTTGCTCGGATTTGAGAATTTTAATATTATAAGAGTAAGAAATTGTTTAGAAATTACGTATGATTTTATTTTAAAATATTTACTTTATGGTATTTATAATTTAAAAAAATATATATATATGTTTATCCTCATAAAGCTTCATTAAAATCATACAAAATTATTTTTATTAGAATTTTAACTTAGAAATAATTTAAATTTGACGGGTTTTTTTTAAGTTAATTAGAAGAATTTTATTTACTTATATTTCAGATTTATTTTATTAAGTATTGAATATTAATTTTTTAATATTTTAAAGTTGTGGCTTTAATTAGGATTCTTTCATATTAATTTGTAGCCACAAGTCACAAAATAATTTTGTTTTGAATTTAATTCACTCATTTATCTCATTTTTTTTCCTTGAATTATTTAATTTTTTCAAGCTTTACATTCATGTTTTAAAATTTAATTCATTTGAATAATTTCACAGAACAGAAAACTGTTTTATGCTATTGTGTAAATCGCCGTGTCCACATTTTTGTATTATGTTTGTCTACTGAATTGCAAAAATATAGATTTTTCACATGTTTTTTAAATCTTTATACCTTTGATTTAATGCCTACATAAATGCTTTCAGGAAAAATAATGATATACAAGTATAAATAGGTGCCTGTACACGTACATTTTTAAATAATTAGAAATTAAAAATACTTAAATTTTATGAAGATTAATATTAAATTCCTTTTGCAAAAATAGAATNGTAACATAGCAATTATTTAACTGTATATTGTATTCTATACAATTTTTAAAGCTTGTATTAAATGTATTATAATCAATTCTGGCTTAATTATGCATGAATGAAAGTTTAGAATTAATTATATTCGATTCGAGTAGATCAGATTAAAAAATTGAGTTTTTATGGTATTCTTTAATTAATAGAAGGAAATTTCTTAGTAATATGAGAGAAATTTATTCAATTTTTATATTTATTCCCATATATTTTTCTGTTTTAACAGAATCAGCCACTAAAAAGTAAATTATCGTAGGCTATATTTGAATATTTAAATGATCAGAAAAGTTAACTAAAATTCTGAAATAGTTTATATTTAATTTTAATTAATTTCTCAGTTTTATTAATTAAAATTAATTTAATTCTAAAGTAATTTGCGTTTATTATTACAATAAAAAAATAACTCTAGTTATAATCGCATTAAGTAAATCATTAAAAATGAATTTATGTGATGCCGTAGAAAAAAATTTTAGAACGATATTTAATGCATTTTAATTAATTTGAAATGTGGACCATTTTTATATTTGACAAAAATATTAAAAATTTACTTTTTTATTATACGTTTCAACTCAGAAAGAAAGCATCAATGAGATGGTTATAATGGATACACGCACTTCTCAAAAACAGGAAATGTTCTACATTTTGAACTTTCCTTTTAGATAAAAGTGCATCGAACACTTACTTCTTATAATACTTTAAAATAAAAGAAAAATAATAATAATAATAAAATTTACGTTATTATCTTATATCAAATTATTATAATATTTATTGATCGTGTTTAGTGGACGATCTTATCTTGTTGTTCCACAGAAGATATAAAAGAATTAAGATACGCGACTATACTAATTGGAAAATGTCGATTTATTATATTTTCTTAGAAAATAAAAATTATTACATTATCAATGTTATAAATTGCAAATATATCAACGAAAAATTTAGATAAATATGTTTGCTTCCACATATTAAAAGTATATTTATAGTCTAGAGCTTGGAAAGGTGAAATGCAAACATAAACGTCAAGCCCTTATTTTTTTTGAAAACAACAAAAATATATGAAAAAATTAATAAATAAAAATAGATTTTTTTTTTACTTTTTTGTCAAAAGAACCTTTATATATTATATATAATCTATAAAGACTAAATTTTGTACATAACAATAAGTTATAATTGTGAATAATGTTTACTTCACTTATTTGAAAATGTTTAATATAAAATTAATTTAATTTTATATGATTTTTTAAAATAATTTAATAAGTTTATTTTGTTTTTATTTTTAGATGATAATTTAAAGTTATGCTTGAATGAAAGTAATTATCAATACTGCAATGAAATGTCACAGTATCATATAGAGTGTGTACTTGGAAGAGATAAGTAAGTAATAATTTAAAAGTTATTTTAGTTTTCTTGTACTGTATATTTTTTTAAAATAGAAATTGATAGAATTTATTAAACACACGATTAACCTGGAATAAAAGTCAGCTATGAATTAAGAACGACGAAGCTTTTAAACATTGATCATTACATTTACAATAACATCCATAACAATGTTCAAAGTTCATAGTTCTCTTGGAAAAAAACTGTGACATACCTTACAAGTTTATTTGTTTTAAATTATATTCAGTCTCCCTTTAGTTAAAAATAAATATATTTTTTTCAANGTACTGGCTTTTTATTACCCAGCATTGAGAAATATTAGTCAACAAAAAATAATGATGACTAACTGTTAGCTTTCAAAACTCACTTCTTGTTTTCTAATTTTAAATACAGTGTGATCGTGTTTAATATCAATTAAACTACAAATATATTATATTAAAATGCTGAATGGCATAGAAATATAGAATAAATAGTTTTCAATTTGTGAAATATCAGTTATTCAGGATTGTTAGATTAATTTTTCTATCTGTATTCAATAGACTATAATAAAAAGTTGTACTTACACTATTTAATATTTTATTCTATTTAACACATAAATTTGTATGTCTTAATATTTAAATTTAATTATATATACATTTAGGATCGATTGTATGCGATTGGTACAAGATGGTAAAGCAGAGATCGTGCAATTGGAGCCACCTGAAATTTATACAGCTGGATCTTATTTCGATCTGGAAGTGGTAGCTACTAACCTGGTTACAGAAGACAAGCGTAAAGTTCTTATTAAGATATTGCGTAATTAAGAATTATTTTAAGGTATTTACTTTGTTTTTTTTTTTCTAAATTTACAGTCGAATATAGATTTCAAACAGTAGCGGTCGTCAAAAGTGGAAGCGGAATTAATACATTAAAGGATTTGAAAGGAAAGAAAGCGTGTTTCTCTTCAGTTGGAGAAGCAGAAGGGTGGAATATACCCGTTGGAATTATTTTAAATGTAGTAAATGATGTCGAATGTAAAAAAGGAAATGAATTAACAAGTATTGGTTCGTTTTTTCAATCCAGTTGCGCTGCTGGAAATTGGTCTTCCGATGATGAAGTAAACGGAAAACTTAGTAAGTTGATTAATTTATAATAGAAATTATGAATTATATTATTGAGAGATTCATTTTAAGTAAATTTTTCTTTATTATTTTCCTAGAAACAGAAAATAAAAATTTGTGTTCTTTGTGCAAATCCCCCGATACATGCAACGATAAAGACGAATATGGTGGCATTTATGGCTCTTTAAAATGTTTACAAAATAATGGAGACGTTGCTTTTACTACCGTGGAACGTATGAAGAGTTTAACGCATTTTGAGTCTTCCAATTTTCATTTTTTATGCTTAAATGATACAACAATCCCTATTAATTTGGACAATCCATGCGTTTGGGCTGAAATGCCAACTGCTGGATATTTAACAAAAAAAGGAAATGGTAAGTTATTTAAGCATTAATTCAGACTCTCTAAATTAAACTTTTCAATATTTTGAAAGTAAAATATTTACAACATCAAACAACTTTTTGTCTTTTAGATATATCCAGTAAATTAAATAATGTAATAGACGAAGTAAACAAGTTAACAGATCGCCCTCCATGGTTAAAATATATTCTCGGGGATTTTAAAGAACTTTCTGTAGTTAGTGAAGAAAGAAAAGATTGGAAGAATTATTTAGGTAAGTTTCAAACGGGATTTACAAAAGAATTGAATGATTAATTAATGATAATTTGCATTTCAATAGGTAATTATATAAAAGCCATTAATAGAACTTTAAATTGCGAAAGGAAAGCAAAATTTTGCACAAAATCGGAAGAAGAAGAGAAAAAATGCAATAGTTTCAGCATGGCATCTTATGGTCGATATTTGAAACCGGTTATCGAATGCATAAAGGAAAATTCCAGCAATGATTGTCTATCTTCAATCAAAAAACAAAAAGCTGATTTAATTACCTTAAGTGGTAGAGATGTTTACACTGCTGGAAAGTAAGTAAAATTTTTATACAGTCTCTTAATATTAATAACACTGTCTATGGACTTTATCCATAAAATTCACACATTATTACTATACCATTCAATATTTATCATCAAAACTAGTTAAATGTTATTCATAGTGTTAAATTAAAAACTAAAATAATAATTAGTAGACTTACATTGTTATACTGTTTAAATGAGTTAACATCAATGAAATTTCTAAAAAAATTCATTAACAATAAGATAATTATATAAATTAACGTAATATATAAGTTATAGTAATAATATATGACCATTTTATTATCATTTTCCTCGAAAATTTCAACGCAGAAGAGAAATATTTATAACATTAAGCATCTTAATTTACGCATATTTTAAGTACAGTATACATCAAAATTTACACCCTGTAAAACCTATAAAATTCAACCAAACTCTAAAGGGTGTTAATATGAGAATGGAATTAAATTTACGAATTACAAACCTCAAAATATGTTTAAATATCTTTAAGAATTTTAATAATGTACGACTTTAATTTGTTAAAATTAATTTAAGCAGTTTAATAATCTAGAAAATATGTAAATTAAATACAGAAAATTTTAAAATTCTTCTCAATTTTAAACGGTATAATATTAATAATAANTATTTTATATTCGAATATATATTTTTACGTTTTAATGTATTTGTAATGCAATAAATTATTTCTTGACACATATTTTAGCGATTTATAATTTTAATAATGAATATTCTAATTTCTGTAATTTTGCAAAACTTTTTGTTTTTTTTTGTGTGTGTATGTTTACGAGAAATAATTATTAAAAATAATGGAAAAACTTGAGAAATTTGTTGTTAAATTTCCTTAAAAATCTCCAGTCTTTTTTTATTACTGTAGCCAACATGGCTTTATTATTTGAGAACAAACAATAATAAATTTCATGCACAGATGGTCTTCAAATTTATCTTTATTGCTTATGTTAATAAAACGAGATTGCTTATACTATAAGGCACGTACATTATGATATGGCTATTATTTTATCAGATATTGATTTTAGTATTATGCTAACTTCAGATTTTTCATGTATTTTTTAAAAATAAATTTTTGTAAAAATTTTTTATATTTAATATACTCAAAAAAAAATTATTTTACCTCTTCCACTTGGATTATTTTATTTCTTGATTGAATAATTTGAAATTATACGTTATTAAAAATGTTCGATAATTTTTAGTTACTTTTTAAAAAGTAACTAATAATCCCCCTTTTTTTTGATATTTTATGCTCCAGTTAGCTGTTTTCATCGATTTTTTAGTAATATTTTAAAATATTTTATTCGACTTAATATTGTAAAATTTTAATATTTATACAATAAAAATAAAGTAAATAATAACAAATGTCAACAGAAAATAAAATTTTATCTGTTATTGCTGTATCAGTATATATAGTTATGTGCTGACTAATAATAGATAACTGGATGGATATCGAATTCCCTACATTCTCTTGATGATAAATTTCAAAACAATACAACTGTACTGGCTTTTTATTACCCAGCATTGAGAAATATTAGTCAACAAAAAATAATGATGACTAACTGTTAGCTTTCAAAACTCACTTCTTGTTTTCTAATTTTAAATACAGTGTGATCGTGTTTAATATCAATTAAACTACATATATATTATATTAAAATGCTGAATGGTATAGAAATATAGAATAAATAGTTTTCAATTTGTGAAATATCAGTTATTCAGGATTGTTAGACGTTAGTGTTATTCAAAATGTGTAGACGTTAGTGTTATTCAAAGTGTGTAGACGTTAGTGTTATTCAAAGTGTGTAGACGTTAGTGTTTTGTTCAGTTTACTAATACTAAAAAATATTTAATCTTAAGGTAAAAACTGAATGTTTATTCGAAAACAGAAAATTCTATATTAAATTTTTTTTTATTTTATTGTATAACTTATATATTAATTCTTGCATTCCTTTTATTGTTTTCAGTAATAATTACTTTATTGTGTTGAAAAAACGTTTATAAATGAGTAGCTTTTATAATATCGGTAATGAATGTAAAAATTCCTAGACAATTCATACGTAAAATCAGGATATTTCGGTATAAAACTCTAATCGGTTTACAAATTAATTCAGTAAAACCTGAATAAAACGGAAACCTGCCTAAACGAAAGAAACTTCAGTACCAGTTTCGGTACAGATTCCAGTTTAAACAGGTTTTACTGTAAAAATAATTAAGAATTAAACGGATCTACTGTAAACTAATGGTTAAAATATGAATAATTTATGGTTGATTTCTATTGCAGAATATTATTCTATTAAATACATAAAATTATTTACGAAATATTAATAAATATGTTACAATGGAATAATGCATAATAATGGAGATTTTAAATATTTTTGAATGTCTGCAATTATTAATTTGACATTAAATAAATAATTTATAATATTTGTAACACATAAATTTATTTCACCTTAAAATATTAAAACATATTAATTTCTTAATTATTGAAAAATATTCTCATCACGATCAATAATATTAATTATTATCTTTTCAATGTTTTATGAGTAAAATTGTATATTATAGATCAGAATTTCAATATGAAAATATGGAAAGGGTTAAAAAATACTTACAGAAAGAAGAAAATTGCTAATTTATTCTCATTAATGAAGTGTAATGAGAATAAATTAACTACTTACTTATTTCTAATTATAATGTTAATTTTGGAGAAATTCCAAAATGAACTAAATATTTCTATTCGTGACCTTGTTAGATATTTTCCATATTTTTAGAATATTCTAAATGCTACAGGATTAGTTATAAGTTTTGCAGTTTCTATTTAATCCTTTTCTAGAATATTTAAATCACAAATTTTTTAATTTTAAGTTTGTTTAAAGAATTTTCTACGTGTTAAAAAAGCCTTTACTTTATAGGTATGAGGATATGGTTCCTATCGCATCCGAAGAATATTCAGAAGAAAATAATATTTCGTATTATGCTGTTGCTGTTATAAAAGCTGATTCTGACATTAAAAGTCTTCAAGATCTTAAAGGTATTTATTATTATTATTATTATTATTTTAAATCTATATGATGTTAGAATTTTTCTTGAAAATTTTCCTTTGTTTTAGGGAAAAAATCCTGTCATACAGGAATTGGAAGAAATGCGGGATGGATCATTCCTATTAGCGAATTCATGAAACTTGATCTTATAAATAAGAAACAATGCGACGTTTCAGCTGCAGTATCGGATTTCTTTTCGGAAAGTTGTGTTCCAGGTGCTAAGGATAAAGAATACAATCCTAAATTATCCGGCGTGGATAAATTATGTAAGCTATGTAAAGATCCCGAAAAGTGTTCCACTAAGGACGAATACAGCGGGTATGAAGGAGCTTTCAGATGTTTGGTCGAGGGAGGTGGTGATGTTGCATTCGTGAAGAATTCTACGGTTCCCGGTTTAGTAGATGGAAAAAGTCAATTACCTTGGGCGAAAGATTTAAAATCTTCCGATTATAAATTGTTATGCCCTGATGGGAGTAAAGCCGACATTTCACATTATTTAAACTGCAATCTCGCAGCTGTACCTTCTCACCGTTTCGTAAGTGTATATTTTAAACGAAAATCGTATTAGGTGAAAAAAATGTTTTTCCATGTTTTAAAATTATCTGTTTACTTTCAGGTCGTTACATCGAATAAAATAGATCAATCCGATCGTCTTAATGTTGTCTATATGTTAACATCTGCTGGAAAACTGTTTAACCAAAGCAGTCCTATTTTTCACTTGTTCGGATCTTACGACGAAAGCAACGATCTTTTATTCAAAAATTCTGCTATTAATTTGAAATCGGTAAAATTTGATTCGAAATACGATGAAGTATTAGATAAAGACTATCTTGAAGCGTTAAAAATGACGGATCCAAAAAAATGTAACAGCGCAACAACCGCTGTTGCCGCATTTAGTGTGGTAATTTGTTCAGCTTTGTTATCACTTTTTATGTAAATTTAAGATATCAAATTTCACTTCTGTCTCATTTTGTAAAATAATTTTTCTTATTAATGTACAAATCACTGTTTTATGTATTGCGTTTATTAATAAAGATATTAAATATACACACTCTAATCTGTTTTAGGTTCATTTGACTCGTATTTTTTTTACTTTCTTGGTTGTTATTTATGACAGAGAAAAAGTAAGACCATCGGTCAAAAAATTATCTCCAAGATGCAAAATAAAATTCGGTGTTTTTTTTTCTGTATGTATGGATGTTAATGTGTGTGGGGGGCACGATTTTGTTCTCCCTCTTTGAACCTTAATAACTATTGTGTTTTTATCGAAAATTTATGAAATTTTGCAAGAAGATTTGTGTATTAGGGGCATTGACACTGTTAAATTTTGGTGGTTAAAGGTCAAAGGGATGGGGAGTTAGAGGGGGTCTTGTGTCGTATTTCTAGTAGGGTCGGTCTTGAAGATATTATTCATTTGTTAGCGTTTAAAATTTTTTTAAACTCATCTCTACCCTAAAAATTAGGCTTTTTTCTATTTCATAATAATTTCTATTTAAAAAGTATTTTAAATAAAATATCATAACAGATGGCACCAAATGCAACTTTAATTGTTTTTCTGGGAAAGTTAAGCAACTCGTTGCTGAATTTTTTCAAAACTATAACAACATTCGAGCTCTTTTCTTTATTTATTAACAATTTTATTCGTAAATATTAATGAATTTTAATATAAAAATATATAATTTGTCATTTAATTCTGTCATAAAGTATAAGAATCTAAAAATTTAATAATTCAATATTTTATAATGAGATTAAGAAATTTAATACAGTAATTTAAAAGATTTTCTAAAAATTTTAAAAAATTGATTGAAAAATCTGACTGTAATCTCTAAATATTGAAATTTCTTGACTAATAAGCCGCAAACATTGATGTTTTCGATAGACATATTCAAGGGAAAGTAGAAAAAGAATACTTAATGTCTGAACTAAAAATTTTAAATAAATATATAAAGAAAATTTGTGATAAATCCTAATGGTTATTTATTCGTACAACATTCTAATAGTTAAATAAAGATAAATAAATTAAATATTCTTTTAATAGATTTATCTACAAAAGTAGTTCTATGCACAAACCTATTTTCGATACCTCTTTAAGATAATTCCTGAATACGCTACTAATACTCACGTATACAGATTTAATCGAATAAAAGTTATAAAATATAAAATAATTGCTTTTAAACACGTAGATAATCAATAATTTATTTATTGTTTAAACTTAATTTATTTTAAGATGTTTGTATAATTTAATGTAGACGTTACTGCGCTTTTTAAGAAGTTAATCTCTTTATTGGAGGCTTTCAATAAATCATTTTAAAAAAATTTATAGATTGCAATATTTCATATTTAAGATAAGGAAGAAGCTTTTATTCTCACAAAATGTTGATTCAAATATTCAATCTAATATTTCTGACATAGATAACATTGGATAATTTAAGTTAGTTTTTCTGTTTTGTCCATCGATTATCTTTAAAATTTTAAGAGTTATCTCATTTTCTCTATAGAAATTTAGTCTTTTTTTTTATTTTCACTTGCAGATACCTGCCTAATGGTAATCGATCTGCTGATAAGCGAAATTAAATTATACGATTTAAAATTTATAGTTTGTAATCTATAGATTTTGTTTAGTTAAAGAAATAGAGAAAGTGTGTTATATATTTTCAAATCTATGCAACTTGTTTCATCGTTAAATTAGTTGTTTACATAGATAGATATGAGATTCATTAGGACCTATATGCTTGACAGAACAGATTCGTGCCGAGAATGAATTTGCTTTTCGATAAGGTCGAGGTTTCCTTGACAACATTTACATGTTAAATGTCATTCTCCAAATACATTAAAAAAAAAGTCTTATTTTGTATTTTTACTCTTTGATATTCAATAAGATAAACACGAAAACCTAGACTTTACATAGTATTTATACATATAATAAATGTAGGAATGTTATTTTATCGAAACTTATTTTGATCCTTTCATTTGAAATGATAGAAAAGTTTTATTAAAATCATATCATATGCACCAAAAGTTTATTTTAATAAACTTTTCCTATCAACTCTAACTTCAGTGTTACCCTGTAAACCACGTGTCGCTATCGATCCTAAAGCAGAAATATTTATGATGTCTTTTGATAAAGATGCTAATGTTGTTTACTGATTTTTCAGTATGCATCGTCATTCAGGCACACTGTCGAAATATAAGATCTTAATGCGCATAATAAAAAATTCAAATGATTGTTTTCGAAAAAAAAGCAATCCGTTAGAAGTGAGAAATGATTTGAAATATCTTTCTATAATATCATAATAGCCTATAATTGTTTTGAAACCCGAGTATAGTTCGATATATATTTTGATCTTTATAAATTGTCGTTTTCTGAATGATTTATGGGACGTTTCGTTAAGTAGACAGAACTTTCTACCTATTTTCGTTGATTTATAATTTTTTTTTCTTATTAAATTTCGGTTTCTGCTTATTTCTTATCAATCTTTATAGTAATAATCGATAGAAATTTCATTTTTTACCGTACGATCGATTCGAATGACATATATTTGATATCAATTTCTTTCAGTTCTTTCCTCCTATTCCGGTATTATCAATTTTTAATTTAGTTAACTACTTTAATGCGTTTCGTATTGCACTTGACGTAGAAAATACTCTAAATTTTTTGTATACAATAAATTAAAGAGTATACTTTTGATAAGTTTATGAGATAAACTTTACTGCTACCTCCATAAGGTTAATTAAACTTATAATACCATTTGCACAGAAATATTTAATATATTTAACTAATAAAAAGTGCTGAATGAAAGTTATTTTTCATAATTAAATAAATGAAAAATTTATTATCTCTTTAATTTACTTGAAAGTATTGATTATTCTACTGTTTGTGCTCTCTATTGTAACATAAAATTATCTTTTATAGAAGATTTGTAACATATTAAGCGGATGAATTTCCTATCGATTTTAATTTATCTTTTTCTAGGATTATAGAATATAATTTTAATATCTATTATTTGTTTCTTGCAATATAATGGAATTTCTATTATAATAATTTAGTTGCAGTTTTTATAGACATTTTCAAGTGATTTATTTATATTATTTGTCAAACGCATTTGATTAGTATTAACAATTCATGTTATAATGATGCATCCTTCTATTCAATAATTCAATATAAACTGATAAATATTTACTTTACATTGTTTAAATAGAAGCGCTTTTATAATTATCATTACTTTTTAATTTATAGATTTGTTAAAGAATTTAAAATATAAACGAATAATTTAAATTTTATGTTACAAATCGTCTGCAAATGAAACATGAAAAATGGAAATTTCTTGGCACTTTATAATTATCCTCGAATTAAATTAAATTTTCTGCATTTTGAATTTATATCATTTATTCTCTTGTATTATTAATATAAAATTTAAGTATTTCTAATTATTATTTACTTAAAATATCACATATAAATGCAAATATGTCGAGTAAAATAAGAACGAGAACAATTCATATATTTAATTTTATTTTATTAAATGTTTTTAATATGGAAATGCAAACGTAGACATTGTCAAAATATTTTTATATCATAAATTATATAAATGATATAAACATGTTATATGAAACTTATGAAAATGTATTCGCTTGATTTATTTTCAATTTGAATTTGTAACTTCTTTTATCCAATCTAAATATCGTGTCACTCGAGCAAAAACACCTGGATATTTCTCCCAGGCACATCCCAATCCCCACGAAGTAATGCCAATTTCGTACCATTTTCCATCGCTCGATTGACATTGTAAAGGACCACCGGAATCTCCCTGAAAAATAGAATAAATTAGAATCTTATTTGTAGTTTACATTGGCTAAATAAAACGTAATTCTACAATATTTACATGACAAACTCCTTTAGATCCTTTCATATGACCTGCACAAATCATATTTTCGGTAACATTCTGTAGTTTCTTATAGCTTTTTCTACAAACTTTCTGAGATACTAATGGCATGTCTACCTCTTGCATAATTTCCGGAGTTTCTCCTCCTAAAATATAATTATTAGAAAACTTTTCTTGCATAATGTCTACGTATTGAATTACTACTTACTATATTCTAAAAGTCCCCAACCAACAGCCATACATTTTTTCATATTTAAATATGAATTTTTGGGGGGCAAACATATTGGTTTTAAGACACTATTTTTATCCAGCTGCAAGGACTCATTAATTTTTATGAGACCGATGTCGTTATCTGTTGTCTTCCAAGACCAATCCGGATGAGATATTATCTTTCAAACATAAAAAAAAATTATATGTAAATTTAGAAACTTATTTTATGAGGACTGCGATTATAATAAATTATAAAACTATACCTTTTCGACAGATCTGTTAATCTCCCCTTCTTCTGTAGCTGATAAATTATATTTATTTATACGGACGAGGATACTTTTCGAGCTAAATCCACTATAAATCAATCAATATTGTGATTATTTATTGAACAAAGAGTAGGAAAGGATCGATAACGTATAATCTCAACTTACAGACAATGTGCTGCAGTCATTATCCACCTGTCATTGATAACAGTTCCTCCACAGAAGTGATACTCGGGTTTACGCCGTGAGACAAACCACAATGATACTTGCCAAGGCCACTGTCCACGTATAGATTCTTTCCCTCCAACAATTTTACCTGTCAACTCATCATCAGGAAAAGGGGAGAGTCCACATTCTTTATTTTAAAAAATATTAATAAGCTTTAAATTTCTGTTTACATCTCAAGTTCATGCACGCATTTAAACTCCAATTTGTAATTTAAAACTAAAGATTGACGAAAAATTATATATTAATTATAAAGTTTTACACTTAAATCTTAAATTAATGAGGTAAATTTCTAATATTCCTGTTTTTGGTAATTATAAAATGTTATAAATCGATTTTATTTTATTAATAGAATGTCGTTCTTTTAGATATTCAATCTGTTTTATTATAGGGCAATAAAGTTCTTTATGGAATATTTATAACAATTTTTTGATATTTAGGCTGCATTTTGTCGACCAAATAGCTGCGTTATTGAAGGAAATAGTCTAAATCCTCATAATTTATCATAGACATTATAGGTCGTGGCATCATTCATCATCCTCATCCATTATAGTCGACCATATTATGGGTCAGGGTTATATTGAGCACATCCATAGTATAAAGTGTGTCCCACTTCATATTCATTAAATTTTAAATGACAATACCTGCTATGTTTTATAAATTTATGATATTTATAAAAGAAAAATTCTATCTAAGTAATGTTTACAATTGAATTTCTATTTTATTTATATTTAATAATTTTGTTATTTTGATTTAGCATTTAAGCTTTCTTTACGAAACACAAATATAATTTGTTTGACTTCATTTATAAAATAAAATTTTAAAAAATTATTCAAACTTTAAGGTAAATTTAACAATAAAATTTTCATAATTCATACAAATGTAATTTTTAAAATAAAAATTTATTTTATTTTGAAATTACTTTAAATTTATTCACTTCGAAGAAGGGAAGAAAGCGTATTCTAAGTATTAATATAGTATTAAAACAGTAAATATAAGAATTATCCAAGTTATGTAATCTAAACTAATCATATAAGAAATTTTATGATGCAAACTACTCTAAATAATAATCAAATTTTAAACCATTTGAGAGTCTGAATGAATGTAATAGAATTGAATGTTCTTACCTAAAGATGCAGAGAGTTTGAAGCACAAGTAGAGAATCCAAACGCAAATCGACTTCATTTTGCTATTGAAAATTTTGTGTCTAGATCACTCTTTATAAATCATTTTGAAACCCACATGATATCTATTCATAAATAATTAAAATTCATAAATAACCTTCATGTGAATACTAACTATCAAACGATACTTCCTGAGCTTTCACATAATACCATTGACATGAAACCCCCCATTTACTTCCGTATTTTCTGAAGTCCAACATATTTTTATAAAAATTCTATAATTACCGAATAAATTAACCAAATAAATCTTTTAAATAATTAAAATTAAACTATTATTAAAATTATATATTTGTATATTTTTTTCAGAAAATTCAAAACAAAATAGTTTTTTAAAAGGTTCATTTCCGGGTTCAAGTATTTTATATAAATTATTGTTTCTTGTAAATTGTTATCAATTGCCATCTGTTCAAGTGCAATGACATCGGATATGCTAATAAAGCAGAAGTGTGAATGAAAATTAACCAGTATATTTCGATTATTTTATTAATCAGATTAGATAAAAATTTAATAAATAATTTTAACAATTATTGTTTTATTCGATAACATTCATAATCCACTTTTTGTATGTTGAAACTTTAGAAAAAACACCTGGATATTTAGCCCAAGCGCATCCCATTCCCCACGAAGTTACTCCCACTTCGTACCATCTTCCATTCTCCATTTTACATTGTAGAGGACCCCCTGAATCTCCCTAAAAGGGGAAAAAATAAATAAATTTTTAAGAATTCTACCTTAAAAAGTTCGATAAAATAACAAAATTTCTTATTCAAATTTACTTACAAAGCAAACACCTTTTTCTCCTTTCATATATCCTCCACATATCATCCCTTCCGTTAAATTTCTTAGTGTTTGATAACTCCTTTCACATTCTTTCCTCGATACTATAGGAAGTGCGACTTCTTGGAGGATATCCGGCCTACTTCCTCCTTAAAAAGTCATTATAAAATTTTAATTATAGTAGAAAATTTAGGATGAAAGAATGAATTTAAGATTACTAACCATAAGTAGTCATGCCCCAACCAGTCGCTACGCATCTTTTTCCAGCTAATTTTAAATCATCCTTGGCTAAGCATATAGGTGACAATTGTTTGTGTTCATCTTCAAAATCCAGAGATTTGGACAGTTTCAATAATGCTAAATCGTTATCGGCTGTTCTCCAATGCCACCTGTCGTGCACCACAATCTAGATAACACGGTAATTTGTACAAGATGAAGATTAATTACATTTCTATTTTTAGTTTATTATCGACAATGTTTCTATTGATCTTTCTTGATATACCATTTTCATATTTCAATCTTAAATTTAAATGCACAGAACTAAATTTGCTAATCGATCTTAAATTATGTTTAAAGCTTTAAAAATGTTATTTAAAACTGATTAAAATTTTATTCTAAATTATTTATATACCTTGGATACTAATTTATCAATTTCTGTTCCTTCTTCTTCTTCTAAATTGTACTCGTTCATTCGAACCAAAATGGATTTTAGATCGGTTGTACTTTTGTGAAGTAAGAAATATAATAATCAGTAATATGTTATAAACTTAAATTAAAAAAAAGAGAGAGAAAAATTTACCGATCGACGCAATGAGCGGCTGTTAGAATCCAATTTTCATTAAGAATGGTTCCTCCGCAGAAGTGTTGCATCGGTTTCTTTGTGGTTACATTTCTCGACCATAGTGAAACTTGCCATGGCCATTGGCCTTTTTCAGCATTTACTCCTCCAACAATTCTACCCGTCAGATCTTCATCTTCTACCGAAGATTTTCCACATTCTATAATAAAAACATGAAATATAACATTCTAAAAACGCCAGTTTCAATACGGCTAAACCCAACAGCTAAACCCATCTTACTTAACGCGGATCTACCAGAAATGAGAAGAACGTAAACAAAAAAACAAAGCATTTTTCAAATTAAATTTGGAAATTTTTGAGCAAAATATCTCTATAAATACTTAACAGAAAGAGCCTTCTGCGGGTATTTTATATTCTTCTATTTTAATCGTAAATAAATATCTGTGGGTCGTTTGATTGAAGTCTATTATCTTTATGTGGGCTAAAATATGGGTAATATTTAAATTTCCATACAATAAGTTAATATTTAAATTTTTAACGATGCAATAACCTTTGAACTTTGGAGAAAATTAAAATCTTTCATCTGCTTTATAAGTAATAAAGGTTAATTAGCTTGTCGTTAAGCGTATTAATAAATAGAACAACAGATAAGAAAGATCATTCGTTTAATTAAATTTTGTAGATTAATTTCAATAGATAATTTATATAAAAAAAGAGAACGTCTTAGTCTATCAATCTGCTAATGTAATTAAAAAATGTCTGCATAAATAAATTGCTTTGTGAAAATTATGTTTAATTACACATATATATTATATCATGTGTTTATGATACAATATAGCAATTAAAAACGAATTATCAATTTATTAAATTCATGTTTTATGATGTAATTTATTCTTTATCATGAATTTCGTCATATATAAATTTTTCTTTAATCACTTCGTTTCATAAAAAACTCGTAGGTCATTAAATAATTTGTAAATTTTTAATAGATTTTTACAAAAATTTTCATTGATTTATTATTGAATTTTGTTTAATTTATGCTGTAAAATATATGAAAATTGTATTATAAATTAATCAGATCTTACGTTATTCTAATTATATATCGTATAATAACTAGCAAACAGTGCTTTATTAGTAAAGGCAGGGATTCAATATCATTTTCAATAAATTATGTTTATGGAGAGAAAGATCTGTTGTCAAATTGTTTTTACTTTTTAGAATATGTTTTTAAATACAAACGAGCAATTATTTTTTGTGACATCGTCACAACGCCGAGTTAAAATTTTTAATTATATTTTTTATTTTACTTAATTTAAAATACAGTATATTCTCTCCATCTCAAATTAATAGTGGTTTGCTCCTGTACATCATACTTTTCCTGTTAGCAACAGAGTCGTGCCTGTCATTATTTAACTCCCTTCAGGAGAAAATTTTGAATTAAAATAACGTGAGTTCCGGTTTGCATCGGAAGTTTATATGTAGTTAATTGGGCTCTAGCTCCTAATATTTCCATATTTGGTCTGGGCTTTCATCTACCTAACTCCGTTCGAGAGATTAAGGAAGGACAGACGGATGACAATGGGAATTTATAAGTGTAAATTTTTTTAAAATTTCAGCCCAAAAACTAAATAAAAATTTAATACAGGAAGAAAATAACAGCACAAAGTTTAATTCTATAATATTTTATTATAATATTTCTGTAATTTCGATTATTATAATAGTAACAAAATAGTGTATTGTCATATAAATTTCAATATGCTGTGAATGGATTATCATTCTTTCAGCGTAATGTTTCTTAACTCCTTTTCAGGTATTGAAAGCGTGATATTACTCAGAAATATACTTTTTATTCCTTCTAAAGGTCACATTACCTGCAATTACTGCGATACATTGTGTTGATGAAACTAAATTCTATTTTATATTAACACATTAATAATATTATTATTACTGTATATAATATTAATAATATATTAATACAATAATTCTTGATTATTTAGGGATTATTATTTCCTCGATTGTTTATTTATCTGTTTAATCTATTTAATTTATCTGAAATTTGAAAATATTGTAGACTTATAAATCGCCACTGTCATTCATCTGTTTTCTGTCCTTTCTTAATCTCAAGAATGGTGTTAGATAGATGAAAATCGAGACGAGATATGGAAAACTTAGGAGCAGAAGATCCCTAGTAACTATACACGAACTTTTGGTTTAAACCGGAAATCACGTGAGTTCAATTTAAAAATTGTCTCTGGGATGGAATTATAGATGATCGGCTCATATTTCCTAATAACAAGTCATGCCGACTGTTGTTATTAGGAAAAGTATGATGTACAGGGGAAAGACACTGCTAATTTGAGATCGAGAGCATATATTTTAAATTAAATTAAAAATATAATTAAAAATTGCAGTCAGGCATTGTGAGGATGTCATAATAATTTTAGTTCGTTTTTATATAGTTTCCTACTTCCTACTGGTTATTCGTAATAATGATGCAGGAATGAACTGCGTTTTAACTACATAAATCGTTCGAATTACAATTCAAGTGACACTATTCTTATGTATATTTATTATAACTTACATTTTTTAGAAGTAATTAATATTTGGAAAGATTTATTCGAGAAGTTTTCCAACAATTATAATCAGAAACTAATATTAGATAACATTCTTAGTTTAAATGCAATATTCATTATTTTCATTTGATCATAAAATATGTATCTTATATCAAGGTATAAAATCTTTATGCATCAATTAATAAAGTACACAGTGTAAAAATAAAAAAATCATCTAGCTAATGACACTATATAAGTAACCTGTAGTCATGTAGGTCTATGTATGAATTCCCATAAGCTCTGGCCCACTAATGGAAGAGTGTATAAAACAACTGAACACTGATATATAGGTTCTTATAAGCCCTGGCTCACCAGTAAACCAATGAACACTGGTCATGAGTTCGAGCTTCGCAATGAGATGGTCGATTGGCGTTTTCAGGATTTTTTTCATGTGTATAACATCTAAATAGGAGCCAGTTCCCTCGAGAAATGTCCTCCTGGGAAGATTCCTTTTAACAAATGCCCATTTGTTGCGTTTCATTTCAAGTTTTATCCTATAAGCTACAGGATATTCTAGAGACAACAATTATAACCATTTTAAATTTTAAAAGAAAATACTTTCAATAAACGTTTTAAACACGTTTAAGCCTATAATTAACATAATTTGTATTTGATATTCAATTATTTATCATTCTATAATATTGAGTAAAACAATCATAAGTAGATTATTTCTTTTGATTTTTTACTTTCCCGTCTGTTATATATAACAAAGGAAAAGTGTGGCAATCGGTCAAAAAATGGACCCCCAGATTTTTACATTTTTGGTCTCGGGAACGTCGAGAAAAAAAAATTGAGAGTTTTTTCTTTATGTATGGATGTTATAGTCCGCGCACCAAAAGAATAGACAGGATTCAGTCTGAGCTGGAAGGATCTATGTCAGATGAATAGGGTTATAAGGAGACATGTGACTACTCACTTTAAGTTAATACACGGATCTGATCTCTTTTAGGTGTTTTGATTTTTACATTTCCGAAATGCTTTTATACCATCTTTATTATAATTTTACTGTTTTATTTATTTTTTTATAAATATAATTAGTTACACTTAATTCCCACGTTACTCAAACGTTAATATTATGTTNTTGAAATATGATGATTATGAATTATATCTTTGTCATGAAAATTTCTTAATCATACAATTTCATTAGAATACATAAAGGATTTTATAAATTTAAATCACACATAAATACTTTAACACAATTTAAAAAAAGAAAACAAAATTTGACATGGAAGCTTGTATATGAGGGACATTGACATTATTAAATTTTGGTGGTTAAAGGTCGAAAGGGTGAGGAGATAAAGGAGTGTCTTGTGTCATATCTTGAGAGGGGTAGAACTTAATAAAGATTTTATTTGTTATTAACATTTACACTTTTTTTTATGAAACTCATCTCTACCCTCAAGATTAAGCTTTTTGACATTTTATAATGATTAATAATATCAAAAGTTTTTAAAATAAAATCTCATAGCAGATAGCGCAACACACAATTTTAACTTTTTTTGACTGAAAAATTACACAACTCATTGCTGAATTTTTATCTTTACAGTTCAGAAGAAAATACTTTATTATTCTATATAAACTGATATTAATATTCTATAACTGAATTTTATAATGTATTTAAATTTTAAAACGTTTATACATAAATGGTTTTTGTGAAAACTAATTATTTAGCAATCGATTTTTAAATAAAGATAAAAAAAAAACACTCAAATTATATTCAAAGTCTATTAAAAATATGTAAATTTAATAATTTATTAAATTTCTTTAAAACAAACTGTATACCGTATATCTAATTTATATAAAAGTAAACTAACCGTTGAGTATTATCAATTAGGCAGGGAAACTTTAAGGTGTTTTAATAAAATCAATAATCATAATTAAATTACTTTTTATTTTTTCTGAATAAATCTGTTTATATTATAGACATCATCTCGTCATATGAAATAAACACAATTTTTAAAATTAAGACCCTTATTTTTGGTTGTTAACTTTGTAAAAATCTTCTTTGAAAAATTAATTACAATTGAACAAAGAAGCATAGCCAATACAATACGATGACCAACAAATACAATCTAAACATTTTTAGTCGATAATATAATTGGAACAGTGTGCATTAGTTTTAAAAAATTGCGTTATTCAATTCTATTAAGCTGTTATTTTCAAAAATTGTAAGCATCACTTCCCATTTCAATTCATTTGTCTGTCCGTCCTTCCTTAATATGGAGTTAAATAGATGAAAGTCGAGACCAGATATGGATAGGTTAGGGACAGGAGGTCCTACCGATTAACTGTATACGATTTTTTAATTATTTCAATTCAAAAAATTTATCCTGAACGGTGTTAGATAGATGAACAGCACGACTCTATTTTTAACAGAAAAGTATGATGTACGGGGGGTAAGATAGTACTAAAATCAAAAGCATTATGAGAAAAATTGCAGCCCGGCATTGTAACGATGTCACAATAAATAATTGCTCGTTACTTTCAGTTCTGTTGTAAAGATTTGAATTTTTTTCAATAAATCCAATTGAAAAGCAGTCACAAATGATAGGAAGACTTGTGATTTCAAATTTTAAATTCGAATATG